AGAAAAGGTTTAGTATAGATTTAAGCACAGCCACTGAGTGAGAAAAGTACTTAGACAAAGGACAGTCTACAGCCAAGTGTGGGTTCCAGCTTCTCAGGAGAGCCCAGATAGATTTTCTTCTGTCTTCCTAACAATGTGGTATGGTTTGTAGCAGTGCACTTACCTTCATGTCTTGTGTTTTTAATTGTCTATTTGAAAACAGATGATACAGTTTTAAATTTTCATGACTCTGGCTGGTGTCCCTGGAGCGAGCCGTTTTTAATTCACTCACACCTAGCACTAAAACTGTCCTATGCCGTTGAGTCCAGGGCCACTTGGTGGTAAACAGATAGCCATGTGAACTGTTTATCACTTCGACTTGAGGCTGTAATCCTGGACATAATAAAAATTTCAGCTAGGTTGTGGGTTTGAAGACAGTTAACTGAAAACATGAATTTCTGTGAAAAGTTCTACTGGAAGCACATTCAAGTTGTTATTTCCACTTTTGTATCTCATGAAGTAGAATTGTTCTTAGATCTCAAACAGTGGCCCAAGAACCTGAGAACTGCCAAAGTCTGTTCAAAAGTAACAGTGCCCCCCTCCCCCCCCCCCAAAAAAAGTAGCACTTAACCTTCTGAGGGCTGTTGAATCTAGGTGGAAAGGAACAGAAGGGGCCCAACTTGGAAACAGTTTTGGTCAAAACTATTTTGGTTTGTCACATTTACAGATCAGAATTAGTGCCAAGTTCTCAAACCGGTATCCTCCCCGGATATGACAGTCAGAGTAAAACAAAAGAAAGGATGCATTTTGTAACTGTGATACTGAAATTAGTATTTCATATAATATATTGCAAATGTGGTAAATTACTATTTTCAAAGGATAAGGGAATCTAAGGAGCTTTGGGGAGTAATAAAGTTTGATACACTGGTGTTTTTATGTAATAGCTATTAACACAGATAGTATACATGGACAATGTAATAGCAATAGGAATTTGTTGGACCCCAACTTAAAGTATAGAAATATAGCTCAGTGGTAGAGTGATTGCCTGGACTGAGTGAGGCTCTAGATTTGACTTTCATCACCACAGTAAAGGAAGAAAACGTTTGTGTAACATTTTGACACAGTACTTTATCCTTCATTTTTAAAGAAATACACCTTCACAGTTAAAATTGAATTTTTTCCCTTATGCAAGTCTTCCTTCTTCCCTCCAAATAAGCATTTATGTAATCTGTGGCTTATAAGTCCCTCATATGAACAAAATTTAATAGTAATGGTTTGTTTACTGTTATTGTGCATATCAGTTTGCAATTTGCTTTATTCTCCCTAGTGTTCTATTGTAGAGAATTGAAATACTGAGCACGTAGACATAGATACTGGCATTTAGCTCATGTGTGGTACTTTCTTACATATTCAAGCTGTTCTGCTTCTTAGGATATGGAGTTATTTTCACTTTGTCTCCGACAGTGCCACAAGGGCATCCTTGGGACCTTGTGTATGGCACTAGACTCAGTGCTAATTCATAAAATTGGCATACACTGAACCTCATTAGCTGTTGTTAAATGACTTTCTAAAATAATTGTATCAATTTTAGATAATTAGTTTCTTCATTCCCATATCTTCACAGAACTTATAATGAGGAATGTGGTTTTTTGTTTTGTAGATGTGGAAACCAAGGCTTGAGGAGAAGGAACTTATTCTGGGCTCATGGTGGTAACCAGAATTAAATCTAAATTAAAGTTAGTTTGCCTGCTATGTGTCCTGTTCTCTTTTGTGTTAATAAGTTGACACCATAACTTTCTAATATAGTCAGGAAGATTATGTCAGGGTATTTGGCTTCGACAAATGGGCTGTGGATCTGCACGTACATAGACATTTGAATAATCATGATCCAGGTACTTCACTAGAGAGGACAAGATCCTCAGATCAGGAGAAAAAACTCACAAAATCCCAGTGGCGTGTACTGCTAGTGTTCAGGAAGAGACGTGTGACCCAAGCAGCCATTGCAAAAACAACTACTGCAGAAGAAATGGGGAAGGCTTTCAGGAGCTAGGTTTCCTGCAGTCTCCTTCATAGCAGCAAGTTCCTCTTAACCCACAGTCCATAAGTCCAGGCCTCCAAGTCCAAGAGCATCTTCACCTTGTTGGCTAGAACCAGGTCTGTGGTACTCCCTGAGGCAGCCGTCCCTAGTGAAATGCTGTCTGATTTCCTGAGTAAGCCTTTCCCAGGAGACACACGCCTCTTTAGCTGTCCCCAAAGACAGATCTTTTGCTTGTTTGTGCTTTGCCTCTGGCCTCTTGGCACAACATGTTTTTATGACTTCATTGCAGCAGGAAGAGCTGATGACCTTTCTGAGGCACAGAGTGCATGGTTTACATCAGTGGCCCTTGTAGGCCACGGGAATAGAAAACTAAAAATACGTTTAGATAAATTGTGTCATTGCTAAATTTGAATCCGGTTTGTCTCAAGAAATCCCCCATATTCTCCTGAGTCAGGGTTCCCAGGGGTGCTTTGGGAGAGTTGTAGTTACCTTTGTTACATGGCTTCTCACTCAGGGAGTTGAGTAGAAAAGCTCAGGATAGTTGAGACCTCAAGAAAGACATAAGCTGGTAGATCTTCAGGTCTTTGTCCTGAAAATTTAACAGCTCCTTTTAGCATCTTGATAAATTCTCTTAGGATTTAAACGTGACATTTTTTATTATTTTTTTCATCTTTTGAAATTAAAATTACATCATTTCCTTTTTCGCTTTCCAACCTCCTAACTCTTTCACATACCCTTCCTTATTCAAATTCATGGCCTCTTTTCTCAATAATTGTTCTTAAAGATGTACCTGCATGCCTGCTCAGTAATGTTAGTTGTATGTATGCTTTCATGGTTGAACAGTAGGCAGGTATTGGTTAACCAGTCGATATGCTCTTCCTTAGTTCTCAGCATTCCTTAGTTACCTATAGTTTTTGTATAGGGTTGAATCCTCCATGGTCTTTCCCTGTCTACATTATCTTGTCTGTTGTTGTTGTCCTTGTTCAACATGTGTCTAGAAAGTTATGTTGGTGAGATTTTTATGAGTGTATCTTCTGACATCCTAGGAGACACGGTCTCTGGCAAATTCTCTGATCTTCAGACTATTAGAATCTTTCACCCATCTTGGGCAATGTGCCTTTGCCTTAGGTGTGGGAGTTGTTTTGTAAATGTATCCATTGGAACTGAGCTCCACAACTCTGTATTTTGATTGGCTATAGTTTTCTGTAATGACCTTTGGCTTATCTATGAGTGTACAGACAAATATTTAGAACATAGTTAGGGATTTTGCTTGTTTTAGTGAAGTGAGTGGTGGTTGTAGACTCTCCCCCAAGATCCATGACTTCACTAGCTGTAATTGGCTAGGTTTTTATCTTGGTGAGTGGGTCTTAAGTCCAAATGTGAACTGTTGGTTACTTCTACTACTTGTGTGCCACTATGTCCCCTTAGGATTATCATACTTTGCTGGTCATTGTGGTTCATAGGCACCATAGCTTGGTGGAACTGTTGGATGCTTTGTTCCTTTGGATGCTTTCATAGTCTCTTCTGATACCTCCTCCTGAGAGAGGAGATTTACAGGTTAGTTCAGCTCAAGGTTTTCTGGGCCCTCTAGATGTCCTCTTGATGGAAGACATTTAAATTTTAGTTTTGATAGCCTCTCAGGCTTCCTGTCTAATAAATCACTGATTCTTTTGGTTACTCACAAACATACCTACTTTCTAATAAAGAACTATAAAATGTGCTGTTGGTTACTGGTACTCCGTGTGTGTGTGTGTGTGTGTGTGTGTGTGTGTGTGTGTGTGTCCTCCTTGAAGCAGTAGAATCAGAATCAGAATCCAGGCCCTATTAGTTTTCTTGTTGTGACCTTCCCTTATGCTTCCTTTCTAGGTTGTGGTGCCTTTGTCCACAAAGGCTGCAGAGAAAATCTAGCATCCTGTGCAAAGGTCAAAATGAAGGTAAGATATTTCTAGCTGTTAGAATACTCAAAATCCAGTGATTTAAAAATACCAAAATCAGTTGGCCATGGTGGTGCACACTTTTAGTCTCAGCACTTGGGAGACAGAGGCAGGCAGATTTCTTTGGGCAAGGTCAGCCTGGTCTACAGAGTAAGTTCCAGGACAGCCAGGGCTACACGGAGAAATTCTTTCTCAAAAAACAAAGCAGAGAAAAGCAGAATCCCCATGTTAGAATGTAGATTGTAGTAGGCTTTGTTTGTTTGTTTGTTTGTTTGTTTTGTTCGTTTTAATCATTTGGTGACAAATTTGATAGCAAATTAATCTAAACATAGTTGTTCATAAAAATGTTCAGTCACCTTCTTGATTACCACACTCAAGAATTTGAGACTTTGAATAAAGAAAATACTAAGCTAGAGACTCAGTCTTATAACCCAGCACTTGGTTTGATGTTAGCCAATTTATCAGTGAAACCCTTTCTCAAAAGAATTTTTAAATGGAATTGTTTTAGAACTTTGATATGTTAAACATTTCTCTGTGTTTCTGTTTAAGTGATTGTCTTAACTAGCTCTGCAAATACCCTCTGCTCCTGGACTCTCTAGCTTCCCCATCTAGAAGCTTGAGGGGCGACAGGTGGAAAGCAGAGGCTTTTGATATGTGATGGAGAGGGGGAGGGCCTCCTTCAGTTAGAACCAACCTACCTGGTCTTTTCTCCAAAGGTACATAGTAGATAGCAGAGATGACATAATGCAAGGATGGGAAGTGCCAATATTGGTGCTGTATGAGTATGAAAGCTTCCCTTTTGGGTAGCCTGTGTGACTGTCACTGTTGTCAACCACGCATGAAATATATTTCTTCCTCAGAGAACTTCGGGTATGTCTGCATGGATGCCCATCAGTAACCACATTACTTAGTGCAGCCGTCTCAGTCCTGGGTGTTTATCACCATCTCAAGAATCTTACTCAAAGAAATGTACTGCTATAACCTCTCCCCCAAAAGGATGTCTGATTCTGTAGTGGACTGAGGAGTTCCCAAATGATACTGGTCATCATCAGACCTCACTTTGGACCATGCTGGACTAGTATGAAAATAGCTAACTTCTGTGTCTGGGTCTTCTCAGCTCAGTGATGTATATTTTGACTCATGCTGTACTTTAAGATTAGTTTATGCAAAGACTTAAAAATTATACCAATTCGATTTCTCTTTTCTCCTCCAAAACTGGAAGCTCCTACAACCCTCAGCTCATGGGTGCTACCTGTCACCCAGCTCTCCCAGCTCCCTCATCCTGCTCTCTTTCCATTTCCCATAGTGTTTAGAATCTTCTGGAACTACATTTTTCTGTCTTTTTTTTTTTAAGTGATTTTTATTCTACCCTCACTAGAACATAAGCAGGAAGGCAGGAATCTTTGATGGATCAGTACAGTAGACTGAGTACCTAGGACAGTATCTGGTACATGGTAGAATCTTAAAATTGGAAAGACTGGATAGTGAAGAACAGTCAGTGGGTGCTCAGTGCTGCTGTTAGAATGGGAAATGCATCCCGGGTGCCCACTGGTTCTAGCACCTCCCTTCCACTCCAGTAAGACTGTGCGTGCATGGGGTTCTGTACAACAGTGACTGCACAGAGAATGGCATCTCTTCTGTCTATCATTATAATCTATATGGAAGCATTCATTTTCAGTTGGAAGTGATCTATTTCCTCTTAGTGATTTGTTTCACAGCAAATGCTTCAGTTAGTAATTTGTCAAAGTATTTTTGTGCTTGCTCCCATGAAATTTAACTAAAATTAGCATTCTACCTAAGAATGTAACACTTTACAAATGCTAGTCATCAAAGAAGCAAATGAACAGGGCACAGATGATTCTCTTTAGTAACTGACAGTACAGTGGAGATACGAACAGGTAATTTCTACAAGCCAGAAAAGGCTTAGTAGACAGTTTTGATACCTGTAGCAAAGAGAAAGTACTCAGCTCAGATCATCTGGAAATGGAAGAATGCTATGCTGACACAAATGACCAAAAAACATTCCTGGGATGGGGCTGGGGACACACCTAAGCACTTATCTGCAGTGCTTGGTGAACCCAAAGGATGGCAAGCGAGGCTGGACATAGCCCAGCACAATGTTGTCTTTTTACTCCAGGCTTCTGGAGACTTGATGGAGGATGAGTTTACAGTGTGATCTGCATCTATTTACCTTCTCTTCTTTTTAGCAGCCAAAAGGGAGCCTCCAGGCCCACGATACATCATCGCTGCCCACGGTCATCATGAGAAACAAGTGTAAGTAGCTCAGTACACCTCTCAGAAGTGTACTCAGATGTTTCGTCCTATACTTACTTGATGCTTTTGCTTGCTTGTCATTCTTAGTCAGGATTGATGAAGCTAGCCTAAGCTGCCTAACAAGATCCTATTTTGTAGTGTAATAGGCTACCAATTTATCCTGCCACATTTAATGACCAACAACTTGCATTACACCATCAAATCCTCCTCGAAGGTATCTGTCATAGTGTGTGCATCAGCTGAGAGGTGGGCTGGAGTTCATCTATGTGAGCAAGTTACTCCTGTTCTTCAGCACCAGAGAAAATGGTTGATTTTAGTACCGCACAGCAGTGTGACTCAAATGAGATCTTACTGGTTAAACTTAATATAGCCCATGAAATTATATACATGATTCTTTTGTGATTTTCTTTCCCGGGGTTCTCAAATGTTATGAGTAAATTCTATTCAGTCACTCACACTTTTTTTAAAAAAGAACTGTATGGGGGCCTAGGAAAGTGACTCAGGCAGGTGAAGGTATCTGCTGCCAGGCCTGACTAGCTGAGTTCATTCCCTAGGACTGACATTGCAAAAAAAGAACCAACATCTACAAGTTGTCTCACACACACACACACACACACACACACACACACACACACACAATTTTTTAATTTAAAACACTATTTTAAGTTGGATAAGAATGCTGAGAAGATAAAAGAGTTTGCCTCCAAGCCTAGCAAAGTCTCCAGAACCTGTATGGTGGAGGAGAAAACCAGCTCCTACAGGTTGTCTTGTGGGCTTCCACATGGAATCTGTGGCATATGTGTGTACGCATGCATACAGAATAAATCTTAAAATCTAAAAACAAACCAAAACTAATGTTTATCATCTTGTATAAGATTTCCCTTTAAGTTGACAGTTATTTCGGTGTAGTATATTTAATGCACAGCCTTCTGATCTGCTATATCTATAGTCATATATATCTTTGAAAAAAAATCTGTTGATTTGTACATTGACACATTAAATTATGACATCACACATTAAATGATGACTTGCACTTTTCTATTATTTCTTCACTCTGTCATTTTCAGAGTTATTGTAAGCTGTTGTTTCAGACTGCTGCATGATATATTTCATGAGCATACATTGTGTTTTAATTACTTCCAACAACTACCATAAACAATGCAGTAGTAATTATCCATGAGTTGGCTTCATGGGAACCTGTGTGATACATTACCAAAGGCAGTGCTTTCAGCATATAGCTGAAGAATCAATACGTGTGCAGATTGTGTGGCATATGTATGTAATCCTAGGTCTGGGGAGCAGAAACATGCAGATACCAGAGCTTGCTAGCTCTTCCAGACTAGCCAAATGGTGAACTACAGGTTCAGCAATGAACACTCTCTCAAAAAAAAAAAAAAAGATTAGAGAAGCTACTGAGAAAGACATCCCAACATGGACTGTCACGGGCAGACACACATATACATACAAGAGCAGAGTTGTGCATTCAGATTGCATGTTTGGATCTTCTGTAACCTTTAGGTACACGTTGTTCTTTAGGACTTTTAGGGCTATGCATAGCATTCTAGTTCTTCTCATTGCTAGCTCTTGGGTGTGTGTGTGTGTGTGTGTGTGTGTGTGTGTGTGTGTGTGTCCCCTCCTTCTACTTGCTTCTTCCTCTTTCTCCTTTTTGTACTAATGCTACATACTTATTTTTCTCTTCATTCATTTGACTCTTCCCATTAGAATATCTGTTTTCCTTCTAACTTGTCTGCATTCTCACTGTAGTCTAAGAGCTACTGTTTCTTCCTCTAACATTTTATGTACTCACTGATCACCTTTCTGAAACTCTTAGGATATGCTGTGGACAACCCTTAAGCATGTTCTACAGGAAACCCTCGTCTTTCACTCCCTTTGTGCTCCCTGCAGCAAGGCCAGTCATATTGTAGCATACCCTGTTCCTGGTCTTCTAGTGTCTAAATAGAATTTGAATTAGAAATTAATTATTGTGTTATTATTTATTAAAGGTATCCTAGAGTGTTGTAAAAATTATACAAGTCCCCATATCTTCTTTCCCTTAGCCCTTGACCCTCCCAGGGATAAACATATACAAAAACTTATATCTGTGACAGGAGCTCATTTACCAAGGAAAAATAATTTAGTGTTCACATTGCCACTATAGTCATTTTAGAATAGAGCTCCACTTTCTTCTTTGATCATGTTAAGGAAAATCATGAGAATCAATAACTGTATGATATTAAACAGGTATTAATTTCTCTCTATCCATAAACTCAAGACGTTGATCAAAGTGCCTGCTTTCAAATAATGAACAGAGGCTGAGGAGATAACTCAGTGATTAGGAGCACTTGCCGCTCTTCCAGAGGAAGAGTTTCCAGAGCTTCAACCTAAGTGGTGGCCTGTGCTTTTAATCCCAGCACTTGGAGGGATCTCTGAGTTCACGGACAGCCAAGGCTACACAGAAAGAGCTAATGCACTTAAAGCATTTTATGTCTTTGTGGCTTCTCTGAGATAAGTCAGCTCTAGGATTCTGGGGCTTGGAAAGGTGATGCTTCAGTTAATATCCTCTCTTCCCTTGCAGCTTCACAGCCCAAGGAGCGCCCTAGGTCTGCAGTCCTCTTGGCTGATGAGGCCACTGCTGTACCAATGTTTACTAACAGACGGTCTCAGCAGAGTGTCTCCCTCTCTAAAAGTGTCTCCATACAAAACATCACCGGGTAAGTGGGTTTAAAGAGTTCATCATTGACATCTGGATGACAAGAACATAGTAATCACTTCATTTGACCCGGGGGAGGGGGGGAAGGGGGAGGGAGAGGGAGGGAGGAGAGGGAGAGGAGAGGGAGAGGGAGGGAGAGAGGGAGGGAGGAGAGGGAGAGGGAGGGAGAGAGGGAGGGAGGAGAGGGAAAGGGAGAGGGAGGGAGATCCTGAGACGTCACACTTTTGTAGTATTCAGATGAGATGAGCCTGGATGTACTTCTTTTTAAATCTGCTGTCTGTCCCTAACTCTGAAGTCAATTTATCATGGTTGTGAATTCTGGGCTATCAGCTCTAATTAGGTTCCTTTTCGCTCATTTGCATTGAGTTTCATTTCTAGCCTCTTCAAACATTGCAGAGGCCATGTTCAGCATTGGCTGTCAGGTTATTAGCAAAGGGCAGATTGGGATGCCGTTTGCTGTTTAGGCTAAAGTGCCCCCATTCATCAAGTATGTGTCATCAAAAAATGTAGTACTTGACAACTCTTAAATATCTTCTGATTCAGACTGAATGCAAAGTCTGCTTTTGTTTGTGCTGTGACACCTCTATGTTAGCTGAAGTCTCCTCAAAACAAACATTTCAAACAGTCTTCTTTGCCTCTATTTTCATGATCTGTAAAAGTCTTCTTTTCGAAGTTGTGGTGTTGTCAAAACTCATTGACACTGTGACTTTAAAACAGAGTTTTACACTTGCTGATGTGTCATAGAACAAACATTTACTTGGTACTGTGATAGCTTATGAGTTGAGAAAAGACAAAGAATATCATTTATTCCAATTTTTTTAAAGAATTATTTATTTATTTTATGTATGTGAGTACACTGAAGCTGTCTTCAGACACACCAGAAGAGGGCATCAGATCCCATTACAGATGGTTGTGAGCCACAATCTGGTTTCTGGGAATTGAACTCAGGATGCCTGGAAGAGCAGTCAGTGCTCTTAACTGCTGAGCCATCTCACCAGCCCTAGTACTCCAATTTTTAAGAAAAGTGTGTTTGTTTGTGTTTTTAAAAGGGGAGAAAAGTAATTATGTAATATTTCTATGGGTCTTTTGCCCACAAACCATGTCTATGCACCATGTGCATGTCTGGTGCCTGTGGAGGCTAGAAAAGGGTATTGGATCCCCTGTACCTTTTGAGCCTTAAAAGTTGTGCTAAGGTTGGGTTTGCAATGATTCTAAACTTTTTAATAATTCTTCATTTTGCTCTGAACCTGAGTAATTTGTCTTGAGTTATAGAACCTACAGCTAACTGTCATTTTAGAGTTTTTTAGAGATTCACATAAGAATGTGTGCCAGTTTATCAGAACTTATTTGACAGTGTATCTTTCTTTTTGTCTTTAGAGTTGGCAATGATGAGAACATGTCAAACACCTGGAAATTTCTGTCTCATTCAACAGACTCACTGAATAAAATCTGCAAGGTCAATGAGTCAACAGAATCCCTTACTGATGAGGGTAAGAGGAAACTTTGTCCCTTATTACTAAATGTCTATAAAGATTCAGTGTATCTCCTAGCATACTGTTACAAAATAACAGTGCCTGCTCTCCCCCACCCCAACAAGAGTCTCTAAATTGCCTGTAAAGCATCACACCCAGCATATGCATTGGCAGTCACACCTGTCCTATTGTTGGCTGTCCATTGAAGGAAACCCTGATACTAATGTAGACGCACTCTAGTGCAGACGCTTTTCTTCCCCTAGACTCTATACACATTCAGGTCTGTTCTGTGTCTGTACAATTGTGAGCCTACTCAGATAAATGTTGCCGCTTGTAAAGACAGCAGGACTTCAAGTCTCAACTTCACAAAGGAACTGTTTCAGCCTTGTTTGATTGACCTGATATTTATCATTCCTAACTTGACACTGGTCCTGTCTAGTATGAGGTGTATTCTCTTTGAGGATCTTCTACACTAATACAGAGTTGGTCTTATGAACTCATGTATCACCTAGAGGAAAATCCAGAATTTTAGAGATCAGAAACTCAAGATCCTGAGGTTGGTTTTTTGTTTGTTTGTTTGTATTTTGAGGAGTAGGTACAGACATGAATGAAGGACAGCTGATGGGAGATTTTGAAAGCGATTCTAAACAGCTAGAAGCAGAGTCATGGAGCCGGACAGTGGACAGCAGGTTCCTTAAACAGCAGAAGAAAGATGTGGTCAAGCGGCAGGAAGTGATTTACGGTGAGATGCTTCATTGGTTTGCCTGTATTTGGTCTACACTATCCAGCTTGTATGCCAGTGAGGGTTATCGAGAGGCAGAGAAACCATTCTCTATTGCAGGGAGAGAACTTGAAAAGGAGTTGCACTTTCCAGCATGTTTAATTGCTGATTGTTGGCCTATGGAAAATAAATTTTCCATATGCAGCATCATAGAGGTTTTCATTAAAAGCACTGAGGTGTGGAGACATGATACAGCTCATGTCCTTGTGTCCGTTTGCCCTATGGAGCCCCATTCTGCTCCTCTCTCATTCCAGTCAGTAGTTTGTTTATTATATATATCCTTGGTTATACAGCAGTCCCAAAAAGAGCTGTTTTCTTTAAAAAAAAAAAACAAAACAAAACAAAACTCAGTTCTTGAGCTACACTGGAAAGGTGAGATAGCAGTTGTTACTAGGAAGCAGGAACACAGTAAATGAAGGGAATGGAGTCTAATGAACACTTGCTTGAAAACCATAAAAAGACTGTCCAAATTCAATGGTCTATCATCAGATGATGAGGTCAGGTTAGGTCAATAGCAGAACAGTGATAGACCAGCTTGGGGAAGACAATTGTTTGCTCAGCTTCAACGTTTCCGTTGGACACTAAGCTAACCTTATGAGCTTAGCTTGTGATCTCTGAAAGACCCTTCATCTCTCTTCTCGTAGAGTTGATGCAGACAGAGTTACATCACATCCGCACACTCAAGATCATGAGTGATGTGTACAGCCGGGGCATGATGACAGATCTGCTCTTTGAGCAGCAGATGGTGGAGAAGCTGTTCCCCTGTTTGGATGAACTGATCAGCATCCACAGCCAGTTCTTTCAGAGAATCCTTGAGCGGAAGAAGGAGTCTCTGGTGGATAAAAGTGAAAAGAACTTTCTCATCAAGAGGATAGGGGATGTGCTTGTCGGTCAGGTGAGCAGCGGGAAGGTCTTGGGTTCTTCTCATGCTGACGGGTAGCAGAGAAGCTTTGTAATTCTGGATCCCTACTCGTATCTCAGCTCTACTGTTTTTCTTTTAGACTTAGCAAATTGAGTTAAGCAAACCCTCAATTTTCTTTTCTGTAAAATAAAGAAAACATGGTTTCTGTGCTTATACTACTTTTTAGAAAGTTAAGTGCATACATAATGAAGTATGTAGTAAAAGGTTTGTCTTTCTTCAATGCCATACAATCATCAGAAACAGTACTATTTCAGAAATAAAAGGATATTTGTTAGAAGTCCTCAGCTTTCCCTGTGGATAATCTGAAAAGGATCTCGTCTGTCTTCAGACCACCTGAAGCTTAAGCAACTGATCAATATGCTATTTGAAACACTTTATAAAGTGTGTTACCTTTTTCAGAAAGTGATTTGATTTTAGTCCAGCTTCAAAGAAACTCAACAAAAAAAGTATTGCTTTATTTTTCAATGTATATCATATCAATGCAGCCTTTGATGTTTATTTTTAAGATGTCTTCAGAAAAGGAAATGTCGCTAGTCCACATTAACAGATAAGAATATCACATACATGTGACTAGATCTTTCTCTGTCCCTCACCAAATCAGTGCTATGTAGATGCAGAGGCATAATTCCTGGAACAGCCAAATGAGAAGTGAATTGGGCTGGGGCAGTACCAGGGATTGAACCAAGGGATTCTCATACATGGTAGATCAGTACCCCAGCACTGAGCTACATCACCAGCCCCGTGTTTGCTTTTATTCTGAGGTTGTCTCAACCTCCCAAGAAACTGGGATTACAGGTTTGGCTGAGAACTAGAAATCCTGTTCTCTAGTATCCTTCAGTCCATAGTCCTCATTTGATAATTTTATTAGTATATTCATTCTAAAAGGATTTGCTGCCTATTAAATGTCAGGGGTAGAACTGTACAGCTGAATATTACATAGATTTCTACCTTAAAGAAATCTGTAAAAATAGTCATGATGCAAATAAATGTCTGTTCCATGTGAGATATTTGCATTTGGCAAATGCAGATTGAATAGTCTTGTTCAACAGTTAACCTACTATGAGGCCCTACAAATGAAGAACCATCTTCTCCAACATAGTCTGTTTCTTTCTGCCTTCAGGACTGCATAGGTATCTTGACTTGTATTATTGTGTGTAGTTCCTAGTACTTGTACACACCCGTAGTAAGATTGTTAATGATAGACTGAAGCTTCAGACCTGTGGTACTCATTTGTTCTGCACGATACAATTGGACACAGCCTTTTAGGGCACTTGCCTTGTGATAATAATTCTACTTCTGCCTCTCCACTGTGAGGGAAGAAACCTACATGAGAAATTGCAAGTCTCTTGAGATCCCAGTGTTTAAAAGTACCAGACTGTTTGCCATTTAATCACGGTGATGGTGTGTGTGTACATGAGGTTGGGGGAGAGGGGTGTAGGGAAACGCTCTTGGTTTTTACAAGGAGACTGGAAACTTTCTACAGAATGATACCCAGAATTGTGGTGTAACTCCTGTTCTTTCTCGGGCAGTTCTCAGGTGAGAATGCAGAACGCTTAAAGAAGACATATGGCAAGTTCTGTGGACAGCACAACCAGTCTGTCAACTATTTCAAAGACCTCTACACCAAGGATAAGCGTTTCCAAGCCTTTGTGAAGGTACTGACCTGAGACGAAAGTGTCCCCATCATGGTCAAGAGCATAAGCACGCCATTTTGGCTAGAGCCCCCATCCTTACTCAGTGACTAACAGTTTATTCTCTCCCTTGCAGAAGAAGATGAGCAGTTCAGTAGTAAGAAGGCTGGGAATTCCAGAGTGCATATTACTTGTAACTCAGAGGATCACCAAGTACCCAGTTTTATTCCAAAGGATACTGCAATGTACCAAAGGTAAGTCTCCTTGTAAACTCAGATCTAGACAGTTCTGGAAACCATTATAGCAGAACTCTATCACACTCTAGCAGACCTACCGGAATGCCTATATTTATGTCAGTGATTGTTTGTTTGTTTCTTTGTGGGCACAGATTCTCACTCTGGCCCAAATTCACAGCAGTCCTTCCTTTGAAGGACCCCCAAAAGTGCTGAAATTACAGTTGTAAGACACCAAACCCGGCATCTGTAGTTTATCTTTTCATGCCTTTTTATTTCATTGCCATTTTTAGTTTTTTTTTTTAGAACATGTTTTACTGTATAGCACAGTCTAGTCTCAAGGGTACTCCTGCTCAGCCTCCCACAGGCTGAGATTATAGGGAAACAAAACTGCAAGTGTAGGGCCTGGTAAGATTTAGAGCAGATTCCAGTGCAACTTGGACAGTCAGTGAGACCCAGTATCGAGGAGGCAAACCCTGAGAACCAGCCGGCGGCGGCACAGCTGAGTGCTGGATGCTAGAGTGCTTCCTGGACATGCACAAGGCCCTGGACTCACTTCCTGAAATACCAGATTATAATGTGAAATCACTACAATTGGGGTAATAGATAATACCAAGGAGGGACTGTGTGTTGGTTCTGTTAAAATGTTAAGTGTCCTGAGCACTAGTTCTGGTGAAGTTGGATTTGGTCAACAGTTCCTACCATTTCTTCCCACAAGTGCTAAAATTGATACTCTGTCTCATCTAATCTGTATATAGTCATTTCTCCTAGGCAGTTACATCAGTTACATTTAAAGGTTACAAGGCAGTAGCAGTAAAGAGTAGGTAGAAATATAACGGAGGGTAGTTATTCACCTCTACTGCTCTCTCTCCCTAAAACATCGGTTCCTTTTATTTTGGAGCATATAATTGCATATCAGTCATCCATAGCATTGAGAACATCTAACACCCTTTTGTAGCAGGTAAGGCAGGCATGTGACTTGGCATGTTGGTTCCAGTGTGAAAGGGTAATAAACAGCAAAGGGAATGCAATGGTGCAGACTCCTCCCCTTCTACTCTGTGCATAAGGGGCCATTAAAGTAGAATTGGTCTTCTCTCCCAAGACAATGAAGTGGAACAGGAAGACCTCACTCAGTCCTTGAGTCTGGTGAAGGATGTGATTGGAGCCGTGGACCGCAAAGTGGCAAGTTACGAGAAGAAAGTGCGTCTCGGTGAGATTTACACAAAGACGGATAGCAAGTCGATCATGAGAATGAAGAGTGGGCAGATGTTCGCCAAGGAGGACCTGAGACGGAAGAAGCTGGTGCGTGACGGGAGTGTGTTTCTGAAGAGCACAACAGGAAGGCTGAAAGGTAAGGCTGTGTCCATGTCTGTGCACCCAGGAGAACGGGAAACATCCAGACTGTTCTGGACTACACCACCAGGTTTCTTCCTAAAGACCCATGTCCAGACACCACAAAGGGTGACAACAGGAAGCAGGCTGTTGGGGAAGACATATTCCCCAGAGGGGTGCTGAGTGGCCATTATGGGATTAGGAGGGTCAGTGGCAGAATTTTCTGAGTCAGGGACAATGAGTCTCTGTGAGGTTGAGAATTCATCACGTCCAAAGACCTTCTGAGCCTTTAGAGAAAGGCAAGAGTAGCTTACTTTAACTAGGCTCATTAGCACTTTATGATATCCATGTCTTTCATTTTTCTCTAAAGCAAAATAGATCATTGGAGGTTTCTCATTTGTTTTTATGAGTTCTCACTTTTCATTGGTCACCTATAATAATTTAAGGAAGTTGGGAGGGTATTTTTTTTAATTCATCAGTACATTTTATGTTTATGAAAGTTGTCAGTTTTATTAAACCCTTCATGAATAGGCATCCTGCCTATGTGAGCTCTAACTTCCCAACAGCTACAGGTGTTCCTGCTGCAGTCCTGGGCTCAGTGAGCTGAGGATCCCAGCAGGCCTCAGTCGCTCTGTTGTCCCAATAGCACTCGAGTATCAGAAGGAATATTTCCTCCCTGTCTCAGGGAAGCGATGGTGCTGATAGATGTCTGCTGTCACGCAGTTGTCCTTACATAGCTTTAACATGCTTAGGACATAGGACAGAAGTCCCTGCCAGGCAGCTGGCTTCTGACATGCAAGAAAGAGGCACTTGTTCTCAAGTGTGGTGGGTGCTAGAGTGAGAGGAAGGAGGAACAGCAGCAGAGGTAAGGCTTGACGAAGGAAGAGAAAGATAATACCAGAGGTTGGAAAGCATGGAGTTGGGAGGGCTTGGGAATCCAGAGAAAGTCACATCTTCAGGGCTCCCAGACAGACTTCAGAGAGCGATAGGAGATAAGAAACACAAGAAACTGCTGGGATCAGCTGCCAACGCTCAGGAGTTGGCACTTGATGCTCTTGCTGGTTGTGGGCCATGGAATAGGCTCACAATGAAAGGGTTTCACATAGAAAGGGATGAGTTCAATGTTACCTGTTTAGTTTTTTGTTTGTTTGCTTTTTTGTTTTTTTGTTTTGTTTTGTTTTTTCAACATAACTGTGGGTAGTATAGAGTACATTGGAAGTCACAAAGGCATTGGAACTGTGGAGATACTTTAGAAAGCACCCACCAATGCCTGCAGAGCAGTGGGGAAAAGAACGTGGGTAATTTTTAAAGTGTCCCTCGCCACTAGTCAACAGTGTTTCAGATATCCTGTGATGAGCCTGAATTAAGCTGCTGTTCTGTGGTGGTCTGAGGGCACTAGCCCAAACCCCTTTCCACACCACCACTTTGAGGCAGTCTTGCAAGCAGGCTGGTAGTCCTTCTCCCTAGGACCTAAATTTGCTAGAGCTGCTAGTATAAAGCCAAACTTTATACTTCTCCTTTACATGGCAGTTTATTCTCAAAATAAAAATAAATAGGTTCCAGCTGTTGGAAGAAAGCTGTGGTCAGACCAATAGCAGAACAGTAAGTTTCTGCCTAGAAATGCCTGCACTGGAAGAACGGTTTGCTGCTTAGTCATTTTCACATCCCAATAATGAACTTGTGCTAAGAACAGCCAGTACTGTATCGAACACCCTGTTGAAGGGGTGGGATTGTTCTCTGATCCATAACACTGATCACATAAACCTCAGGATCCAACAAAGTTGAAAACTTATGCTTTTAAAACTTAGTTTTGGCAAATATATGAATTATTTTAAAAAAAAACTTGTCAAAACTAATGATAGTGTACAGATAATTACTGTTGTCTAGTCTGAAAATGTACACATCTTAGCTCCTGTTTGCTGTGTTGTGTTGTAGCAAATTCTAGTGGTTGAAGAAGGGATGATGGGCTGCATAAATCACCCCTCTGTTTCCCAAGGAACCATTGGCTCCACTTTCCAGAGGGAAAAACGGAAAGGGTCAGCCTGGTAGTTCTCACCAGCTGGCTAGATGTGCGTTTTCCTTGAGGGAGTAAAGGATAACGTCCCTCTGTATGCCTAGAGTGCTACTCACATCATAAGGTTTTTTTGGTTTTTTGTTTGTTTGTTTTTTGGTTTTTTTTTTTTAAGTTCCAGGATCCAATTAGAGATGTTGGGTTGTTTTGTTCCGTTCCAGGAATAGGGATGGTGGCAGAACCTGGATCTACTTGAATGTTAGACACCACTGTACTGCACACCAGCCTGTTGCTGGCTTTGTGGCCTTGTTTGTTTGTTGGTTGGTTGGTTGGTTGGTTGATTTTTCAAAACAGGGTTTCCTTATATAGCACTGTCTGTCCTGGAACTCACTCAGCCCTCAAACTTAGAGACCCACCTGACTCTGCCTCCTGAGTGCTGAGATTGAAAGTATGCACCACCACCGCCTCCACCACCACGATTTGTGTGTCATGTTTAACATTCTGCAGTTTATACTCAACTTAGTTTGACCATAATAGTTCAGACAAAACAAGGATTATTTTGCCCTGAATATTCCTTAATTTTCTTAGCATATGAAACAGTGGGTTTCATTATAATACTTTAAATACACATACATGGTTGTTTAGTCCACCACGGCCTCCTGCTGGTCCCATCCCCAGATCATCCTCCTTCAGATTTCAAGTCATATATTACAAATAATTAAATTTAGTTCTTCATATGAGAGAAAACATAGTATTTTATCTTCCTTACCTCCCTCATTACACTATTTTGTTCCACTCATGGTTTTGTTTTAATGGAATGGAAGAGAACTGACTACCAGCTGTAGAAGCTGAACTCACTTCTACCTACAAAGCTACAACAGTCTGCTATATGTATGTATGTATGTGCAAGTGTTCTGATTTTCTTTCTTTTTTCTTTTTTTCTTTTTTCTTCTTTTTTTTTTCTTTTTCTTTGGTTTTTTGAGACAAGGTTTCTCCGTATAGCCCTGGCTGTCCTGGAACTCACTCTGTAGATCTGTAGACCAGGCTGGCCTCGAACTCTGAAATCCACCTGTCTCTGCCTCCCAAGTGCTGGGATTAAAGGCATGCACCATCACCACCTGGCTCTGATTTTCTTTCTGTTGATGTGATTATAAACACACTTTCTTAAAAGCAACTTAATAGGGAAGAAAGAGTTTATTTTGCTTACACTTCCAGGAGAGGAACTTAAGCAAGAACCATGAGAAATGCTGGGTGTTGATTCATTTTGTTTTGCTCATTAGCTCTTGCTTAGCTAGCTTTGTTACACAGCCTAGAATCATCCAGAAAATGGCACTACCTACAGGACTGAGGCCTCCCATGGAAATTAATGATCAAAACATTCCCCCACAGACATAGCCACAAGGCCTCCTTGACCTAGGCAAATCCTCAGTAGAGGCTTTCCTCTCAGACAGCTTTAGGCTGTGTCAGGTTAAAGCTGACTGAGATGTGATGGGATGTTGGGGCGGGGAGTCTTCATCTTTGGCTTTGAAATGTCTCTGGCCGGTTTGTGAGGGGTAGCAGGTAAGAGAATCTTAGGTATCCCAGGCTAGTCACAAACTCAGTTGCAGGTCATCTTGAATGCCCCCAAGTATTAGGATTACAAGTATATACTAACACACTATTTTATGCAGTGCTGGGGACTGAATGGTTTTTATGAATGTGAGCCCAATAGTCTTGTTGTCTAAGGGGTATGAGAAAGACTCTGCTTTATCATACTTAAGTATTGCTACATATTACTTCTGGGCAGTTTCCTGGCTGCTCTTTCCCATTAATATAATGAGAAATTGGAAAAGATTACAAATTGTGAGCTGTGGATTTAGCTCTCAGGTAAAGTGCTTTCCTAGCATGCACAGAACCCAGGGTTTCATCTCCCACCCTAGAGAAGAGTGGAGAAGACAAAAGAATATTTCATGGAGTATGTTGGTAAAGGTTGCTTGCTGTATTTATCATAGGTTGAAGATCACCTTTATTCTTTTTTTTTAAGAATTATTTCTTTTATGTATATGAGTACACTGTAGCTGTCTTTAGACACACCAGAAGAGGGCATCTGTTCCCATTACAGATGGTTGTGAGTCACTGTGTGGTTGCTGAGAATTGAATTCAGGACATATGAAAGGGCAGTCAGTGCTCTTAACCGCTGAGCCGTGTCTCCAACTCCTCACCTTTATTCTTAAAAGTATTTTATACTTAAAGCTTTGTAGTACAGAGTAATGGCTTAGTTGGGCAGTCACCTTTTGAATGGCTTTCTGTGCATGTATGAAGGCCTGAATCAGATTTCTAGAACTGACATAAAAAGACAGATACAGTGATGCATACCTATTACCTGGGTGAAAAGGGCATCAGTTAGAGACAAGAAGATTCCCCCAAACTCACTGACTAGCTTGTCCAGCCAAAAATGACAAGTCCCAGCCAGACTCAGTAAAAGAAACCTGTTTTTAAAATAAGGTAAAAAGAGTGACAGAGGAAAATACTCAAAAAGTCAATTTCTGGAACACACACACAAATGCAATTCAAGATATATCTTTTCGCCGGGCAGTGGTGGCGCACGCCTTTAATCCCAGCACTTGGGAGGCAGAGGCCGGCGGATTTCTGAGTTCGAGAGTTCAAGGCTAGCCTGGTCTACAGAGTGAGTTCCAGGACAGCCAGGGCTACACAGAGAAACCCTGTCTTGAAAAAACAAAACAAAACAAAACAAAAAAATATAAATATATATATATAATCTTTTCAGGACTGATCACTTAACCTTTTCTGAGATAAGGCTTATGAAGTGCCTACAAATGCCTCTAGGATAAAAGCAGGTATTTGATCTGCTAGTTACTTTGTATATTTGAATCTTCTGTTCTATGGGTCAAGTAATGTCCCTTAAAACATCACAGAAAGGTGAAGCTACAGATGACACATCGATTTACAAAGTGTGAGTTTCTCATTTCTCCATGCACCAATATCATAAAGGAATTTATATTATTGTCCATTTTTTATCTGAAATTTATATTCTCTCCTTATGTTTCCAACAGAGATAGCTGGGGTTTCACTGTATTTAATGCTACTATTATACTTATGGGTGAACAACAATTCTCTGAAGATTTGTAAAATGCTAGATGATATAGTTCATTACAGATAACAAAATAAGTTCAAAGACGTTAAAAATAGAATAAAACACCTCTAAATCCTAGTGAGCAGCTCTGAATCCTGCAGCGTTGCAGACCATTGGGGGAAGATGATCGCTGAATCTGATTTTATGAAAAGCTTGTCTTTCTCTGTCCCACTTCTACTTTGCAGAGGTTCAAGCAGTTCTACTCACTGACATTTTAGTTTTCCTTCAAGAAAAAGACCAGAAATACGTGTTTGCATCATTGGTAAGCTGAATTCTTAATTTCTTCTGTTTGAAATGTCATATTCAGACCAGCTAGGTTGGGTGTAAGTGTAACCAGCTCGAAACATTATGTCTGTCATATGGCTGTGACTTACCTGGCCACTGAATACCACATGACTCATGACAGATGACTCCTCTGAATAGTTTCTTATATGCCCCTGTCATGTTTTTGTTATTACTCCTTTCCACTGCAAAGTTATTTTTATGCTTCTTCATAATCTTTGAATGCTCTGAACACTTGATGATTGGGCCACAATAGAAATCCATTTGTGGAATGTGTCTCTAGATTCATAATACAGAAAACAGCTTGTACAAAATTGAATAGAATGATGAAATCTGGAAACTGGGGGAGTTTATGGAGGAGGGTTAAAGTGATTTTATTTATCTTACATTAAGTCAGAGTATCCTCAAGAGTGAGTGTACTATATGAATGTCTTATATTTGCCTCCCTGCTCTGTCCAGGACCATAAATCAACAGTGATCTCCTTAAAGAAGCTGATTGTAAGAGAAGTGGCCCATGAGGAGAAAGGCCTGTTCCTCATCAGTATGGGGGTGAAAGATCCAGAGATGGTGGAGGTCCATGCAAGCTCCAGAGAGGAGCGCAATAGCTGGATTCAAATCATTCAGGATACAATCAACTCCCTGTAAGTGAGACACCAGCCTTTTCCACTCTCCTCGTACCTCCATGTAACTTCCTGAAGACATGCAGTACCACGTAACTGATGTTGTAGGCATCTTGTTCATTTGTTTGTTTATTTCATTCTGCTTTATTTCGGTTATGTCAGGAACAGAGATGAAGATGAAGGGATTCCCAGTGAGAATGAAGAAGAAAAGAAACTGTTGGATACCAAAGCTCGGGAGTTAAAAGGTAAAATGTTGGAAATGGAACAGCAATAAGAATAGTCTAGTGGTTCTGAGAGATGCCTCCGTGGTTGCACTTGCAGAGGATCTGGATTCAATTCCAAGCACTCACTGGCTATTCACAACTGTCTGTAACTCCAACTCTGGGGGATATGATATCTTCTTCTAGCATCTCTGACCAGCAGATGTGGATGTGAGGTACAGACATACAGGCAAGCAAAACACACACACACACAATCAGTCCAGCCCTGTGAAGGTGTTTGTGCTTTGGACACAGGTGACTTTGTTTATCCCTTCCTTGTCATAGAGAATTGGGTATATTTCATATAGTCATGGCTAAAATTAAAATGAGAAAGCTATTTGGGAGTTCTCTAGTCCGTTCTACTCTTTGCATTCCCTGGCCTTCTTAGCTGTTATACTCACAGATGACTTGTGAGATGGTTCAGAGACAAGGGACCCACTGTTGGAGGACTGTTCAGTTACCCACTAGTGTTTTGTGCAGTCTTGTCTGCCTCCCATTGTGTAGATGACACAGTTGAAGCCTTCAAAGGCCAAACATCCCAGGGCTAAGTGTGTGTGTGTGCTTAATGACAGAGCCGGAGTCTTAGCCCAGTCTGTTCTCTGTTTGTTGTGAGACAAGTCTCCATGTGTCATCCTGGCTGGCCTTGAACTCTGGACCTTCCATCCTCACCTCTAGAGTACTGCTATTATACTCCCTCTCATTCAACAGGCTTGGTAGTCTTCTTGTCATTACTGTATATTAGTGGACTTTTGTAAAGCTTCTTTGGGTAGAAATAAGGCCAGAAGTTCAGTGAACAGTTTCATAACACAATTCTGTTACACTGAAGGATAGAAGAGGAGAAAAGATGGTTAACTTCAAACCTCCATTATGTCAAGTCTAGTAGCCTGTAATTAGGATGAAAACGATAAAATCTTCCTTAACATTTGTTGTGCAGTTGGCTAGATGGAACTACTACTCAAATAGTATATAAATGAGTGACAGGCCACAGATTGGTCTGGTGGGTCATATAAAGTATGTTGCATCTGCTGAAAAGATTCATTTCTGCTATCCTGATAGTACCCCCTTGGTTGAGATACTCAAATGATAGTTGACACAGTGGCCTGACGTTCACAAAATAAAGCAGGTTTAAGGGTGCTTGCTGGGATTATCGGCATACAGGAGGCAGTTGACAGAGTGTGAGCCCCAGGAGGAAAGCATGTAGGGTACAGAGGCAGTCCAGCTGGGCCATTCCATCACAGATTGAGGACCCATAAAATGCCCTGTGGAAGAAACAGATATCCTCAGGACAGCACAAGTGGAATGTTTCAGAAAGAGGGAATAAATATCCGTGCAGGAAAAGACCTAAAATGAGTAATTCTCTAGGTTCTGTAATTAAGGCGGTTGCAGGAACGTGGCACCCACATCAGAGTGTGGTAAAGAGAGAAACAGGAAGGGAGCACAGACAAAATGCAGAGCAGTTCCATCAGAAATGATGCTGGTTCACACAACAGAACCCAGGGCAGCTTCACCAAGTACAGGGGCAGTCCTGTGCTCAGGATGGAAAGCACCTCCTGTCGCTGCCCTTCCCTTAACCACCACAAGGTGGTGCTCATCTCTTGGTCCTCTTGTGAGCCACAACTCCAGACAAGTTTGGTGATTTCTCCATTTGTCCTGCAGAACAGCTTCAGCAGAAGGACCAGCAGATCCTCCTCTTGCTGGAAGAGAAGGAGATGATTTTCCGGGACATGACTGAGTGCAGCACTCCCTTGCCCGAGGACTGCTCCCCAACGCACAGCCCAAGAGTACTCTTCCGCTCCAACACAGAGGAGGCTCTCAAAGGAGGACCGCTAATGAAAAGTGCAATAAGTGAAGGTACTTTACACACAGCATCGGCCCCTCCTATGTGCACACTAATGTCCCCTGCCACTTTCTACTGTTAATAAATAAAGCACCAGTACAAAAAACTTTCCAGTATCAGTGTAGTAAATTGTCAAGTAAACGTTATCCCTTAAACCACTACACAAGATAAGAAATAAAATGTGAGCCGGGCAGTGGTTCCGCACCCCTTTAGTCCCAGCACTTGGGAGGCAGAGGCAGGCGGATTTCTGAGTTCAAGGCCAGCCTGGTCTACAGAGTGAGTTCCAGGACAGCCAGGGCTACACAAAGAAACCCTGTCTCAAAAAACCAAAAACGAAAAAAAGAAAAAAAAAAAAGAGTTTCTCACATCTATTTTTCTATTATATTTTATTGTTTTTAATACCTTATTTAAACTTTGATGCATGTTCAGGCTTCATGCCTCTGACTTCCTCTGGACCTCCTTTCTCATCTACCCCTGTTGTTCCTGTTCTGTGGCTCTCTAGCTTCAGTGTCCTCTCCACCAGCCCTGCCAGAGGGAAGATCTCAAGTTAACAGTTAATGGTTGCACTGGAAGATCCCGACACTTAGGGTGTTCTACCCCTGAAGTCTACCTGCTCTCAGAGGAGCAAAATCAGCTAGTTTTACTTGCTGTTCTCAAATTGGTTCACTTTTTCAGTCCTTTCAACTACCTTGAAACCACTCCAGAAACCATACTACTCCCAGTAAATTACTGTGCCTTCCTGTTCCCTCACAGATGTTTCAGGCCCAAGGTAGAAAGATGAAATTTGTCCCTCTGTTTCCAGTAGAGCCCATCTAAAAATGCATGATGTCCCTCCCATTCTTTGGGATTTTCTGATCCAGGCTGTATACATCACATGTTGCCATAATATCGTTCCCTCTTAATGGAAGAAAGATAGATACCCGGCTGAGTGTTTTGTTTGCTTTTTTCCAGTGGAAATCCTTCAGGGTTTGGTGAGTGGAAGCCTTGGTGGCACACTTGGACAGTCTATCAGCAGCCCTGTTGAGCAGGAAGTCGTGGCTGGGCCCATTTCTTTGCCCCGGAGAGCAGAGACCTTTGGAGGATTTGACTGTCATCAGATGAATGCTTCCAAAGGTAAACCATCCATTATTCCTTTGCAGTTCACAGTGACCTGGATTCTGGTAGCTCCATCTCGTCTGTCCCTTCATTAATAAGTATCTTCAGGAGAGTCTTAAACAGTCACGAATGCCTGTCAGAATCATGTTCATCTGGGACCATAAGCTTCCTGTTGTTGTTGTCCCTCAGCTAAGCTAACTCTAGCCAGAGGCCTTGAGCATCTCTAATCTGAAAAGTTGAAGTCCAAATTGCTTCAGAGTTCAAAACTTGCTGACATGTCACGGTTGGGAACTCCACTCCATACTTGAAAAGTTCCAATAAGGACACAGCATGCTCAAAATACTGTATACTGCCATCTCTGGGCTCTGTATGTGAAAGTTTGTATGAGTCAGTCAGTAACTTTGTGTCTGGACCTAAGTCCCATCTTCCACATGTTTCATTATTACATGTGTTCAGAAATCTTTACATTCTGACCCTTCTGGCTCCAAGCATCAAATAAGGTTGCTAAGCTGTGCTTCCTGCTTTGTTTTGGATTTAATTTTCTTGCTTCTCCACTAGTGAAGCTGTGAATAATGGCCTAATACCACTGAGTGGCTTCCTGGCCTTTTTTTATTTTCAATACTAATAGTATTCGGAACTGTAAATACGCCTAAACTATATTGTTTTCTTGGCTCACCTATCCTACAACTTTAAACATACCTGTTTGGGTTTTATTGTTGTTGTTTTTGTTTAGGAGGTGAGAAAGAAGAGGGTGATGACGGCCAAGACCTTAGGAGAACAGAGTCGGATAGTGGTCTGAAAAGGGTAAGATTTTTCTAGAGAACACTCAGGCCCGTGAACCTGTGGCACCTCCTTTCAGTTCATTGCCTTTTTCCCATGATCTGCCTCAGATACTGGGCTTGTCAATTGTAATGGAATTCTGTTTTCTAGGGAAAGCACATTCTTAGACAAACCATATAGTTGATAGGCCCACATTATTGGCACTTTGGGCCACCTGTCCTTTTTACAGACCCATTCCACTCTGCCTTGGCAGGACCAGTTTCATTAAACGGCCTGGTTGGACCCCAACCCCTCTCGATCCTATTCCAGTGGCTTTTTTAGTAAACACTTGTTCAACTTCTCTTCATACCCTCTATGAGGATGCCATGGTAGAAAAGAAAGAAAGCCAGAAGTACAATGTGACTTTTCAAAGTTACATCGAGTTTAGTTTTAACATCAAAATTTTCATTTTTTAAATGCATTTTTATTGTTATTTTATAGGGTGGAAATGCTAACCTGGTATTTATGCTTAAAAGAAACAGTGAGGTAAGGATTCTATGAGCTACTTAGAATATTTATTGGATTAAGAATATTTTTTTCCTGTTACAACTATCTTGTGACTATAAAATATATAACTGAGAGTATAATTGTCCATTCTCTTCACTTTCCTTAAGCCTCTGTCCTAATGTTTTTCCAGAGTATTCTATACTGTGAATAAAGAATTCTCTGAGTCACTCTTCTATTTTACTTTGGTGGTGTTGGTGGTGGTGGTGGTGGTGGTGGTGGTGGTGTGGTGGTGGTGGTTGATTTTTTTGGTTGGTTGATTTGGTTTGGTTTTATTGAGGCAGAGTGTCATTATGTAGCTCTGGTTGTTGTGGAGTTCACTATGTAGGCCAGGCTGACCTCAGAGATCTGCCCTCCTCTGCCTCCTAAGTACTGGGATTAAAGGTGTGTGCCACCACTGAAAGAGAAAGAAGACTTTTCTTATGATGCCTTTTGCTTTTGTCCAACTTTGTCTATACAAGAGCTGGGGAGCCCCATGGCATCACTATGTGCTCACTGGGAAGAATTTGTAGCAGCTTTTCCTGTAATATGAAGATCCCAGGAGCCACAAGTCTAGGATATGAGAGTTAAAAACTTTAAACGAATTCTCCTTAGTAATTTTTTATCCTAGCTGAGTTTGCCTCTTGGAATCCTTCTTTTTCTGCAAGGGAGCCTGGTGTCCTCCTGGTGGGGAATCAGACCCTGGGGTATGCTGTGTGCTGCTTCTTGCCTGCCTGCTGTCACTAAGCCCCACCCCTGAGGCTCTTGGAATCAGTTTCAGGGTCACTGCTGTCTCCCTGCTCATACTGAGCCTTGCATTTGTGTGTTCTGCACAGTTGAGCCCATGCCTTTTTAGGGTGTTTCTCAAGGCTGTTTCTTTCCTTTCATTCTTCCTTATTGTTGTATTTATTATATTATCTTCAACCCCTGGGAGTTCTGTTTTGAAATTGTAAACTACTTCCTCCTCCCTATGCTCCCTGCAAAAGATCCAGAGGTTGTTGTTTTATGTTTGTTTCTAGAGGAGTTTGCTGAAGAAGTGCCCTGATACAAGCTGGGCCTGGCCCTGTAGGCTGCAGCTCTCTGTATCTGTCTCTTGAAATTAGCTGTCAGCTGATTTTGCCCATTTGTCAAGGTCCTCTGTACTTAGTGAGGAAGGCTGGTGGGAAATCGTGTGGCTAGCTTTCACCCTGAGACAGCCAGCTGCAGGCTGGCTTCTGTGCCTTCTGTCAGGATTCAGTGTGATCGATAAGAAAGGTTTCTCGTTAAGCTTCAGTATTATAAAAAGAAAAATGTAAAGACTAATAACATTAATCATGTAAATGTAAGCAAAACCCATCACTGAAGAGCAGCAACTGCTTCTGCGATTCTCGGCCATCACATGGTCATGTGTGTGACCTTGCACCAGTGTCATTTTCCCAAGACCAGTAGCACAATGCCTGCTGAGGAACAGGCACATTTAATTACTTCTGTTGGCTCCTAGAGTTGACTCTTTGTGTAATCCCTTCTCTACTCTTCTTTGCACGTTGTGTTTGTTACACAGCTCTTCGGCTCTCACGATGCCTTATTACTGCTTGAAAGGGGGTAGCGTACACAGCCAGGCACCTCTGTCCTCATTTCTCTGTCCGGCATTGAGAGCTACCATCCTTATATTGGCATTTTGTTGGTTTGATCATTTCAAATAACATTTCTTGATTTGTCCATGTGTATATATGTGCAATGTGGATTGAAGCCAGAGCTTCAACCATTGAGCTAGACTTCTAGCCTCTGAATACATTTTAATGTTTTATGGAATTGGCTATTTGTATTGATAATTTGTTTTTCTATCATGTTTCTGAATTATTTGTATTTCTTTTATAAATTCATAATTTATGTTTCTATCATATTTCTTACTTTTTTCTTTTATTTTCTCCTAGCTCTTTTTTCTTTTTTTTTATAATTTTGTCAGGTTTTTAATTATTATTATTGATTTAGTTTATGTACGTGAGTACACTGTAGCTGTCTTCAGACACACCAGAAGAGGGCATCAGATCCCATTACAGATGATTGTGAGCCACCATGTGTTGCTGGGAATTAAACTCAGGACATTTGGAAGAGCAGTCAGTGCTCTTAACAACCGAGTTATCTCTCCAGCCCCCCTTTTTATTAGTTTACTGTATGTATGTGGATGCTTCCCCTACATGGAAGTTTGTGAACTACTTGCATGTAGTGCCTACAGAGGCCTGAAGAGGGCAGTGTATCCCTTGAAACTGGAGTTAAGTTGTGAGCTGCCATGTGGGTGGTTGGAATGGAATCCAGGTCCTCTGGAAGAACAGCCAGTGCTCTGACCCAAAGAGCCTTCTCTCCAACCCTCCAACTTGTCATTTAAATGGAATGCATTGTATTTTGGTTCAGTTCATGTATGAGCCAAGGTTGCTAACTTAAGTTTTCCAGAAATGATGGTTTTCTTAGAGAAGTTAATTGAATATGTTTCCTTTTGGCTTTGATCATTCATAAACTTAATATAAATTTTAAGGGATCTCTCTTTAATCGTTGAGGTATATATAATATTTTTATGTCAATCATTCTATAAAGTGGAAGCTTTGCATAGTGCCTTTTAATAGGTGAATACACGCATGCACACATGCATATCTGCAATCTTGGCTGCTTGTACTGTTACTCTCTCAGTTTCTTTCAGTTTTCCAAGATTTCATTAAAATGTACCGCCTTTTATATTCTAAAGATGTTATAACCATGTGATGTGGTAGATTCTGACATTCAGCAACACTGAAATGAATGTTTCTTCCTTTGCTAGCAGGTTGTCCAGAGCATTGTTCACCTCCACGAACTCCTTAGCATGCTTCAGGTACGTGTGTGTGCCGTCTTTATGTGTACACTCGCTTGTTTGGAGAACATAGTCCAGAGAGTTTGTTGACCTCAGTTTCTCGGGTTTGTAAGTTATGTGTTGGTAAATAAGCCAGAGAAGATTGGAGTCCAGTTAAGGACATGAAGACCTTACAGCATGTGAGGCCTTCCTTCCCCAGAGGCTGTCTCACCTTAGAAACCTTTCCTTATTCCTCTCTGGTATACTCTTCCATACTTCCCAGGGACTGGCCTCATTCGGTTCCCTTTCTTTCTTGAAGAGTTTACCTGTCTCCTTCCTACCTTCTCCTTCCTACACAACACACACACTGATCCCACCCCAAAGTAACATCAAGAATTTCAGAAAATGTATGCCCGTGGCTAGTGAGATGGTTCAGCAGGTACCTGCCTTGACAACCTCAGCTCAGTCCTCAAGATCCACATGGTAGAAGGAGAGAGGTGACTCCCCCAGGTTGTCCTCTGACCTCCACATGCTCCCTTTGGCACATGCATGCTTGCACACACAAAATAAACTGAATTGTATATTTTAGCTTATAGAGTAACCAGGCTTGACAAAATTCTCATACCTTTGACACTATTTGAGAACTGCTGAAGTTTCCCTGGAGCACATTATGACAAAGACCAAACCCTTAAAACATAAGAGGAGGGTCACTCTGTCCCAGTACTCATAGAGTGCGGAGCGGGAAGGATCCCTGCAGGTGGCTGTCCCCCTGGACCTGAGTTTCATAACTGTTCCCTCTGCCATGACAGGGTGTTGTGCTGCAGCAAGACAGCTACATTGAGGACCAGAAGCTGGTGCTGACAGAGAAGGCACTCACAAGGAGTGCATCCCGTCCCAGCTCTCTCATCGAGCAGGAGAAGCAGCGGAGCCTGGAGAAGCAGCGACAGGACCTGGCCAACCTGCAAAAGCAGCAGGCACAGCACCTAGAGGAAAAGCGCCGACGTGAGCGTGAGTGGGAGGCCCGTGAGCAGGAGCTTCGAGACCGAGAGGCCAAGCTGGCCGAGCGGGAAGAGACAGTCCGCTGTAGGCAGCAGGACCTAGAGAGGGACCGTGAAGAGCTCCAGCAGAAGAAGGGCACTTACCAGTGTGATCTAGAGAGGCTACGGGCTGCCCAGAAACAGCTGGAAAGAGAACAGGAACAATTGAAGAGGGACGCAGAGCGGCTCAGCCAGAGGCAGATGGATCAGGACCTTTGCCAGGTAACCAAGAGCCTATGCCAGGAAACCAGACAGGGAGGAAAGGGCTTCCTAGTGTGAAGACCAGGAAGTGACTGAGGATGATTATAGGCATCCTTCCCTAAGAACCACATGAAAGTGAACGGAAGAGAGATTCCTGTTCGACAGCAGCGTTGCATTACCCTGAACATGGGGAGAAAGGGAATATCACTTCAGGAGATTGAAGAGGGTGCCAGATATGTTGGGAGTATAGCACAGAGAAGTTGATGGTCCCTCATGCTATCGAGCACTTTGATCAGCCACCAGCCTGAGTCAAAGTAGCCTCAGCATATGTGAGAGCGTGGCCTTGCCCTATATATATAGCACATGGTAAGTCAGGCATGTGTCGCTACAAATAGGAAGCATAGCAAGGATAAAGGAGCCCTTAGGACCTACATGGCTGCCGTCAGGAGTCAGCAGTGGTTAGCTCTGCTACAAGATGTTTGGAGAGTCAGCGGGGCTCAGTGATAGATGGAAGGGTCCAGCCAGTGATAGAAGATAGTCACCACTCTTGTACACAGATGATATCTTGGGCAAGGAACTCCAGTCACCTGCACTCTGTATAGTGCCTGGTTTGGTTTGATGCTGTTGCATGCTCTCTTTCCTGTGTAGCTGCTCCTTGTTCTGGAAGACTTTCTGTTATTTACTACACTGCCTCTGCCCTGGAACATGGACCCTGGAAACAGATAGATAACTTGAGTGTGCAAGTCTCCCTGTCTTTTAAAACTGCCCTTTAGTTGACCTTGGACTCTGAAAGAAAACTGAAGTGATGTCTCCCAGACTCAGGGAAAGTATGTTTTCAGAAGAGCCTCTCAAACACTTAGCTGGGAGCAGCAAGTGGCTCTGTTGCATTTACCAGCAGAAGGCTGGATCCACTCAATCCTAGTGTAAAATCAGCAGGACTTTGACAGGGGAGGGGTGGGTCTCAGGCAACAGAGAACACAGAGAGGATGACACACTTCTCCTGACCCTCTAGCCGGGTCAGGTTCATAGTCCCTGTGCCCTGAAATGAGCAGCCATGCTGTTTCTTCAGGGTGTGGGAGTTCTTTCCTAAGGTATCCCATCAAAAGTATGAGTGGTGTCAGTATTAGAGGTAGTGGTTTAATGTGTCCTTAGATAGAAGTTACGAGAAGTCCTGATTATAGTCAGTTCCTTAGAATGTGGCTTCTGGTTTAAATGCCTTCTCTTGAACCTGTGCAGGTTTCAAATAAACATGGCAGAGTGATGCGGATCCCATCCTTCTTGCCCAATCCGGATGAGTTCTCCTCGCCGTCTGCACCTTCTATAACCAAATCAGGCTCACTGGACTCAGAACTCTCAGTGTCTCCTAAAAGGAACAGCATCTCTCGGACACAGAAAGATAAGGGGCCTTTCCATATACTGAGCTCAGCCAGCCAAACAAAAGTTCCAGAGGGGCAGAGCCAGGCCCCATCCAGCACCTCCACTTCCACCCGACTCTTTGGGTTATCTAAGCCAAAGGAAAAGAAGGAGAAAAAAAAGAAGAGCAAAGGAAGCCGTGCTCAGCCTGGTGGTGAGTTGTCAGTGGGTGGTGATGGGCTGGAAAAAAAACCACAGTTCAGGTGTACAACAGTCAAGCTGGCTGCTGCCCACCAAGCCCACTTGCCAAGAGTACTTGTTCGGGGACTGCAGAGATGACCCGTTTGGTAAAGTGCTTGCCATTCAAACATGAGGACCTAAATTCTGTCTCCAGAAGTGGGTGACAGAGGCCAGAGGATCCCTCAGCTCACGCACAGCTAGTGTAGTCACATTGGTGAGCTCCATGGTCAGCGAGAGACCCTGTCTCCAAAATACCAGTAAGCCTCTGGCGTCCATGCACATAGAGACACATGAAAACCATAAACAGTGCTGTGCAGGGTTGGAGAGACACCTGAGGTTAGAGTCACTGCCCTTACAGAAAGCTGAGGGCCAGCTCCCCACATCCACACAGCAGCTCACGTCCACTTGTAACTCACGTTCCAGGGGAGCTGAGGCCCTCTTCTGACCACTATGGGTTGAACCTGGTGTAGGTACATACATGCAGGATGGGCCTCTGCGTGTAGAGTGCAGGTCTCATTTCTCAAGCATTCTCTCAGCCGGGGAACAAACTCACCTACCTGAAGTCATTCCAGCCTTCTCTGCCTTGCTAGGCTTACTCTAGTAACCAATAACAGCAGCGAGATTGGGTGTTGAACCTTAGGGTGTGTAAGGCAGAGCTTATGCTCCTTTCCCAGGGGAAGTTAGAGACTGGAGCTGAGAGCTTCTCTAAGGGAGCTCATAACGCCTTCCTGCTTGTATTTCACATTGTCCTGGATCCTGTGCTGTGCCTTCAAAATAAGACTGAACGTTCGCTTCTGTGTGGGAGATTTCTGTTTCTTAGGCCCAGTTACAAACATGAACAGTAGTGCTGTGTGAAAGTTTATCACATTGTAAACTCTGCACGGTATGTGCCATGAACCTCAGTTGCCTGTCACAACATAAAAACATAGGAAGTGACCTCGAAAGGGCCATGTTCTCATTCTTGGTTTCACGGTTGCAGATGGCCCTGCTTCGGAAGTACCAGCAGAGAGTGAAGAGATCTTCTGTTGACCCATCTCCTCTGCCAGGGCAGCCGCCTTCTAACCCTGACTTGACAGTGGAGCCACCAGGGCTCTCCTGCTGCCCCTGTGCAGAAGTCTCTTACACTGGACGCCCACTGCCCCTCAGCGTCCAGTCCTCCTGAGCTACCCCAGGTCCTGGACAAGAAGGAGCAGCACCTGGGTGGCAGGAACAGACACTCAGACTCTACTTCAGCTCTGACCCCTGACTGCCCAGGGCTTGGGTGGGCCTGGCCTTACTCAGGGTATTACACTGAAAGTCGTGACCCTAGAAGTAGGTAATAGTTTGAGACGTGTCATGATTCCCTAAAGGCTCAGAGGGTTTTTTCCAAATGAGGTCTGAAACGCTGCCTTGCATTTTGGGGAAAAAGAACCAGAATCAAGGGGCAGATAGTGCAGACTGTGTGTACAGTGGCCATCTTTGTGTACACATGGAGTACACAGCTGTGCACACAGTTCTTCTCAAACATCAGGATGCTTAGCCCAAGAGCAAGCACGTGACTGGCTAGGTGCTGCTCTCTGGATACTCAGTATTTCACCCTGTGGGCCTGTGAGATTGGGTCCCTTGAAATGGCCCTTGTGCACACAGCACCCCTCTCTGTATGTACACCTCATTTCATTTAGGAAGAACAACAAATGCTTGTGCAACCAACAAGAGGCCTGATGCGAACCAAAAAACATGGTCTGCACTGTCTGTCTCCGGACTCTAGGCTGAACTCTCTCACTTCGTATTCAAATCAGGAAGAAACATACTGCCTGTCCTAGATGCCTGTCTCCATGCTCTGGGCACGGAGGAAGTAGAGAGGACTCCTCACCACTGTCCCCAGTATGACACTTTCCATTTGTTACTGGTCCTTGTGGGAAAGCATACACCCTGTTAATGCTCCCAGCCACCAGCTGCCTGACTAACACGTACCCTGAGGCTTCTCTGGGATTACTGGTGAGAAGTAGGTTCCTGTACAGGAGTTAAGTCTTTCTGGTGGTTGTGCCAATACAGAGAGGGGAGCTGGCCCTTAAGCATGGCTGCGTGCAAGCGCCTCAGTCACACGTCCTCCTCACATATGGTTTTCAGATGCAGTTTGCTTGGTTGCGCTCTTACCCTTGAAGCTGTCAAGTGCTGCCTGTCTCTCTTCTCACCCTCCGACTCCATGCATTGATCTGTGCATGCTTGAGGCCTTCACCAGCTCATGTGTGCAGGACAGTTCATTGGTAATGTACCCTCTAAGGCTCACATAGTCCCCATGAGGGGCGCTCTGGGGCCTGTGCTTCACGCATGGCCTTCCGTTCCTGCTTTTGCCCTCAGAAGCACAGGGCTTTGAACCATTGTGCAGAAAACAAACCTGTAACTTGGTGCTTGTTGATGACCTGCAAGCTGGTCTTGCAGGAACAGATGTTTGTCTTTCAGTTTACTTGAAAGAGTTCTGATTTAAATTTTTTAGCCTAAATTTGCTTTATTTATTTTGTGTTTGTGTTTTTCTTTGTTTTATTTTGAAAATGAACCAGTACTGGCCCAACAGTTTAAACCATCTTTTGAGTACAGAAAATGAAGTGTCTGTCCAAGTGCTTGAAGGTCCCAGGAAGACTGGGGTTGAGATGGGTGCTGTCCCCTTCTGTTTCAGGCCCATGGGAGCTGTCCCCTTCTGTCCCAGGCCCATTTTTTCATAAGGAACATTTGTTCTTTTTTAGAGATTTTTAAAGTTGCCCCATTTGCTACTTTTGCCTCTTTTTGACAAGATTGGTTTGGCTCTTTAAATTCTGGGGGTTTTGTTTGTTTGTTTGTTTGTTCGTTTCCTTGGTTATATTTTGTTTTGGTTTGGTTTGGGTTTTTTTCCCTACTAAAACTATAATGTACTTCCCTCAACTTTAACAGCAAGAAGTTAGTTGCTTCCTTCTCCCAGTCCAGCTTTGACCTCTCCAGCTGTCACAGCAGAGCCTGGCATGCCTCAGATCCACAGGGTTTGGCAGGCCCTCCTTGTCCCTGTCTCTGAACACCCCCCTCAGGGAGACTGCACTTCCACAGCAAAGTACTTCTGCTTGAGGGAAAGAGCCTGACTCCCACCTAGACTTGACAGAAAGTCAGACCAAGCCCTACCCTCCTCCCTGTGCAGAGGGAAGCCAGTGACCGCCTCCAGGTTCACTCTGACACACAGTGAGCCACTGTCCACCCCTGGAAGCTTCATTCCTGTCCCCACACCCCCAACCCCCACCCCCACCCCCCTACCAACCAACCCCTGCCCTCTGACCCAACCAGCTGTGTTGTATTTGGGTTGCTTTGGTTGTTTTAAAAAACCAATTTGACTTCTACCCACATTCCCCCAAACAGTGGCCAGTGACAATTGGGAGAAGTTAAAATCAAAAGTATCCTAAGCTGCCCAACTTCCTTCAGGAAGAGAACCATTTGCCAAGAACTGTTTGACCTGCCTGCACTGCCTGGCCCCTCAGAAGTCTGTCACGCTTGGGGAACTGCTGCTTCTGCACTTGCTTAGGTCCCTGAAGATTGCTGTGGCTGAGTCTTCTGTGGATTCTCTAATATGAGAAGGGTGGTCTCCTAGCAACCAGGATTGTGTCCTGTCTTGTTCCCCATACTGAGAAATCATGATTTTTATATCAAGCTAAAGAAATCATTGCTTTGTGGGACAGGCGGAAATTGAGCCGAGCCTTGTGGAATCTAGTGAACTTTCTGGAAGATTGTATCTTCTCTCAGAGATTATAATCATCTCAGTAGTTGTCATCCCATCTGGGTGACATGTGCACTTTAAATGACCTCTCATCAGCTGGCTTCATCTTTGAGACAATCAAATCTGTTAACTTTTTTCTTAGAAGATGGAGAGGGTTAAAATAAAGACATGTATGTCTGTATACCCCACCTCCCCACTCTTACGGAAGTCACCTGCAGGGAAGAAGATCTCACCGTGATTGATTTTTTTTTTTTTCTGAAAGGTACGAACTGAGTCTTTTGAGGGTTCTACCACTAGCGCTGCCCATTGCTAGTCCCACCCACCCCCACACTGGTTCTTCACAGCCTCCCTCATAGCACCAGTATGCAGGGATGTGTTGAACCCTGCAGGGTAACATTTGTATGCACAGCATTAGTAAAGGACACAACCTTGGCCCATAGGCCAGAGCTTTCCCAGGGTCCTCTCCATACAAGTTTGAAATATCTCCTTCTGTCCCTGAGGCTCTTGTGACCTCACCCACTATTCTTGCCAAGGCTCTTGGTATTTCATTAGACTTAAGTTGCCTTTGACCTGTACCCAGAAGACAGTCCTGGAGTGTGGGCTTCCTTGCCTGGTCACCTGTGCATGGGTGTCTTTAAGTGAAGCGATGACACACTCCCCCCATCCACCCATCCCTGCAGAGACCAAGGGCATGGTGCATTTGTGTTAGGCTCCTTGTTTTCTTTCATGTGGCATAACATTCCTAGTTAACTAGACTTTGGAGTCTGCTGCCTGCTGGCCAGGTGGAGAAATGCAAAGTATTCTAATGCTGCCATAAGGGGGGTGAGGGGTGACAGAGGCCTTTTCCTGCACTCACAAGATTTCATTTGTCAAATGATTGATTGGCAAGTCCTGAGTTATTTCTCCATCTCAACTAAGGTGTAAAGTGGGTGGCCCCCACTACTGCAAGTGTGCCCTGCGGAGAAACAAGGCAGGAGCTGCTGCCACAGACCCCAGAGGGCCTCTGTAGGAAGCACAGAACCTATCTATGCCTTAGAACCCTCCTTGCCTCAGCTGCCCTGCCTTGGTTGCCACCTGCTGGGATGGGCCTAACCCAGTTGGCTTGTCTCAGGTTTCCTCCTGAGGCCTGGGCTCTACAGAAGTTGGGCAGGATACACCTATACCTCTGTTCTTGTTCATTTGTCTCCAAATGCTGTATGAACATTTCTGTACTAAGCCCTCTTAAATGAAAAGTCGGGTTAAACCCAAGCGCTGTATAGTAATTTGTAATTATGTATAAAGTGAAGCAGTTTTGAACTGTAAAGATTTTCAGTGTGTTTTCTGGAAATTTGCCACAACATACTGGCTTTGTATTTTATTTATCATCCTTTGTAGTTAACTGGCTTCTGACTCTTGTAAAGTTCCCCTCAGACCTTTCAAAAATAATAAATGTCCTTTGAAATCTTGACCTCTGCTGTGATGTATATGTGGTAAGAGAGTATTCACCTCCCCACCATGGCAAGTCATCTGTTTCTGTGCTGTTGGGGGCAGGGTATATGGAGGAGTGGCCTCCCACATCAGGCAAAGACAGGAGCTTGCCCCAAACCCCCAGGATCACTGACCCATCTACCCTAAGTCAGAGTGCAAACCAGAGTTGCATGAAGTCAGCACAGTAAGGTTCAAGCTGCTGTGCTGTCTGCACGTCCCATCTTAGTTAACTCAACCTCAGGAAGCAAGTCCTGTGTGCATGGAACACTGCAAGAGTGTACCAGGTAAGACTGGTCCCTATGCACAGCTTGGACTGCTGTCCCCATGCCTGGCGTCCTACTGCTATGAGTCTCATTCAGGCACATCAGCTCAAAGGCTCTTTGGTCCCTTTGGACATTAAGGAATTGTATCATCTAGTGGCACCGAAGCCATGGGCAAAGCTCCCTGGAATCCTAAAACTGTTGCCTCCATCTCAACAACCAACAAGAAAAAGACCCTGCCAGGCTCTCCAAGGTCCCACTCTCCCCATAAACTTGGAAGTGCATACATTTTTTTAGGAGAGGCATTTGTAACCTTAGCAATAGCCATCTCCCCTACAAGTCCCTGGAACACTGACTTGTTCTTCTGCCCTTGGCTGTCTTACTTCCCCACGGAGCATCCAGCTTGGCTCATCTGGGTCCACCCCAGTGGGTCTGATTGCAGACTCTCAGCTGGAAGAACAGTGGCTCCCATGGAGGTGTTCAGTTCCACTGTAGCTGGTTCTGAACCAGAGACAAGACTCTTGTCTGGGAGTCAAATCTGTCAGATGGGAAAAACTGGCACAAATCACAAGGCTCCAAGTACCCTGGATGGCCATTCTGTAGGATAGTACTCTCCTGCTGGTCCTGATGGGAGACCATTGTGCATAGGGCTTCCCCCACAGCACAAACCTGATGTGTAAAAGTGTCCATTGCTGTTTGAAGATCCCCATCCCAGCCGGGCAGTGGTGGCGCACGTCTTTAATCCCAGCACTTTAGAGGCAGAGGCAGGTGGATTTCTGAGTTCCAGGACAGCCAGGGCTACACAGAGAAACCCTGTCTTGAAAAACCAAAACAAAAAAAAAAAACAAAAAAAACCCAAAAAACAAAAACAAAGATCCCCTCCCAAGGGACTATCATGGCAAGTGTAGCCAGTTGTATCTTTTCTATTAGGGACCCTCAGGGAGGTTCTGCCTAGAAAGCCAGTGTGACTGCTTCACACAGCCACACAGAAGCCTAAACCCACAGTGGTGGAGGGACATTAGGAAGCCACAAAGACTACATATCCAGGGAAGGAAGAGCTTGCAAATGAGAAAGGCAGGTTGCTGTTCCTGGTCTGAAGATTGCCTTGACAGCAACGACAAAACTGAACCGAGCAACAAGCTGTGGACATAAGATCCCAGTAGTCCAGCTCTAGGGCCTGGAATTCACCTCTCAGTCCCAACTGTTCTGCCATTCAAGGGTGCTCCTGAGACATTAGGAGTGGCAAGTACAGACAGGAAGGGCCTGGGAGTGATGAGAGCCCCAGCTTAGAGGAATGTGAGCCAAGTAGTGCCCTTAGCACCCCTCTGCCATCCCTGTTCCTAGGATATTCATGTTACAGCTCCCTGACCAGCTTTCATATGGTAATTACTCCACAAAGCTTCTAGAAGCTTGTGCTTCTCCTTGCCACTCCTTCCTAGAAACCAGCTACCCAGCAGGGATCAGGGAGCCTCTTGAAACAGCCAGCAGAGAACTAGACCTCATTTCTTCTCCTTTGTCTCCTTTGAGCCATCCTCAACTGCCCACCCTGTCCAGGCTCTGAATGAAGTGGCGCCTGGACCACCTCCAGCAGTGGTAATTCCTACCCTATGTGAGTTCCTGTCCTCACTACAATATAGAAGCATAAGCCAAATAAACCCTTTGCTCCTCAACTTGCTTTAGTCTTTTTTTTTTAATGGTTTCTATAGCATTAGAAACCATTGCTAAGCAAGCGTGTGTGTATGATGGGGGATGGGGGGGTAGGACTTGGGCCGTGAAGTACATGTGGATATCAGAGGACAACCTTATGGAGTGAGTTATCTCCTTCCACCTTTACATGGATGGGTTCCAGAGATGAACTCTCAGGACTTCAGGCTTGCACAAAAAGCTTCTTCAACCACTAAGTCACCTCACTGATCCCCGTTATTTTTGAGACAAGTTATTGTTAAGTAGTTCAAACTAGTCAGAAACTCACTATGTAGCCCAGGCTGGGCCTCAAAACTCAAGAAAATTCCCCTGCGTCAGCCTCCCAAGGTGCTGGGATTATGTTTGTAAACTACTATACCCAGTCATTTTTTAAGACATTTCAAGCACCGTGAGTTTTGTTTTTGTTTTTTCTTTTTCGAGACAGGGTTTCTCTGTGTATCCCTGGCTGTCCTGGAACTCACTCTGTAGACCAGGCCTAGCCTCAAACTCTCGAACTCAGAAATCTGCCTGCCTCTGCCTCCCAAGTGTTGGGATTAAAGGTGTGCGCCACCACTGCCCGGCTCTTTAATTGTTAAGTATGCACCTCAGGCATTTGCACACGCACATGTGTGTGAGTGTGTGTGTGTGTTAGGGGGCATGGTAAAATCTAAGTCCCTTCCTCCTGCAAGTGGTTTGTAGCAGATGAAACACTAACATGGAAATCTCAGTGCTTCTAAATGTTCATTCTTTTTTTCTTCTTTTTTTTTTTTTTTTTTTTTTTTTTTGAGACAGGGTTTCTCTGTGTAGCCCTGGCTGTCCTGGAACTCACTCTGTAGACCAGGATGGCCTTGAACTCAGAAATTCACCTGCCTCTGCCCCCCAAGCGCTGGGATTAAAGGTGCCCGCTGCCACCACCCAGCCATAAATGTTCATTCTTAATGAGTAACAACACAAGAATTTTTTATAGCCAGGCGGTGGTGGCACACGCCTTTGCATGAATGTCATAACCCGTGGCCCAGTGTTGCTGGTTACAGCCCATGTCTCTGGATGCTTCTCTTCACAGAAGCTGCTGGCA